CCACCCCCCCCGCCATGCAGTGTCCGTCCCTTCAGTGAATTCTGATAGTGGCAATAGCCCTTGTCATCATTGCATAATACAGTCACTGACTGACCATCTGTGAACTAGGCTTCTACAATTGTTGCTATTATAAGGTTAAGTGGAAAGAAGTTTACAAGATGATTTCAGCAATGCATTTAGCTACTCTTACATGCGTTCTAGATAAGAGGGAGCTCTGGGTGCAAGTCTATCATACACCTCCCACTCTGAAATACGTATGGGGATACTTTTAGGAGAAAAAAAGAAAGAAAAGGAAAAAACGTAGTATATTAGTTATTTTCCTCATTGCTAGGACAAAGCAACTTAAAACTCTGTAGGCTCAGAGTTTGAGGATGCTGTCCCTCAAGGCAGGACAGTACAGGGGTGGGAATGTGAGATGAAAGGACTCCTTGTATCTACAGTCATGAGGCAGAGAAAGATGAACACCAGAACACAGCTCATCTTATTTTAATTCAACCTATGACTCCAGCCCCAGGGATGGTGCTACTCACATGCCGGGTAGGTTTGCTCTCTTCGGTTAAACCTTTAAGGAAATACTTAAAGGCATAGACATCTCCAGGAGTGTGTCTCCTAGGTGATTTCCAGTTGGCCATCAAGATTAACTGTTGCACATGCTATTTCTGCTTGGAGCTAGGCTAGTGCAGCCGGCATGATGGGAATTTTGTGCCATGTGCTATTATGTGTAGGGTTGCTCTGGAGGATGTGCAGAAGCTGGGCTTGAGACTCTTGGGAAAGAACAGTTTAGAGATAGAAGAAGGACTGGAGAGATGACTCAGTAGTTGAGAGCCTGTACTGCTCTTCCAGAGGACTTGAGCTAGATTCCAAGCAACTATATCAGGAAGCTTGCACCCTTCTGTACATAAAGCTCTAGGAGGACCTGCCACCTCTGGCCTCTGTGAGCACTTGCAGTCAGTGCACACACTTACATAACATGTGTACATAAGACACACACACACACACACACACACACACACACACACACACACAAGTAAAATAATAATAAGGAACTATAAGAAGACCATAGAAAGACATATAGTTAAAAACATGGATGGCATGCTAAATATTATGACCTGAAGTATTTAAATAGGCTCTGATATAAATCAGTGGTAGAATGCTTGCTTAGCAAGTGTGAGGGTTGGGTTTATTTCCTAGTAACACACAAACATATGTGCATGCACACATACACATGTTTCATTAAACAAGACATCAAAGCATTACCAGCTGGTCTTACCAATCAATGAACTCCAGGGTTAGTGAGAGATCTTGTCTAGAAAAATAAGGTAGAACACAATAGAAGATAATAAAAATTGAGTTTGGGCTCTCACCTGAATATAAACATACGTATACTGACACACACACACACACACACACACACACACACACACACACGTATGTATACCACACACATACATACACATACCACACACATGTATATATACTGCCACACAAACACACGTATATATACCACATTCATACATACATATACTGCCACACACAAACATACGTTTGCATACCATACACTTACACACACATACCATTACACACACACATGTACATACACCACACAAATGTACACATGCCTTACACACACCTTAATATGTAATCATATTAATTGCTTTGTCACTTTGACAAAATCAACTTAAAAGAGGAGGAATTTATTTTGGCTCGGGACTCACCACGGCAGGGAAAGATGGCTCATCCTGTATTGCCAGGAGTGATAGACATCAGACAGGAAGCAGACATGTATGTCTCCTTCAAGTCTCTCCCCAGTGACTGGCATCCTAGGCCACAGTCCCACAGGTCCCACAATCTCCCAAAACAATGCAACAGCTAGGGACTAGGTGTTCAAATGTGAGAGTTTGGGGGGACATTTCACATTTATACCATAATAAAGTATTCTTGAGTAAAAGAAAAAAAGAGATTAATTTCTATTAGGAAAGAGAATGGGCCACATGGTGGTGGTGCATGCCTTTAGTCCCAGCACTTGGGAAGCAGAAGCAGGCTATCTCCAGGCTCAAGGTCAGCCTGATTTGCAGAGTCAGTTCCAAGATAGCCAGAGCTACACAGAAAAAAACCTGTCTTGAAAAACCAAAGTAAAAAAGAAAAGAAAGTGAAAAGTATCACGCACCTCACAAAAAATAGAAATTAAAATGGTAGCAATATAAGAAAAAATTCATTAACCTCACTGATGAATAAAGAATTATCAGTTGAATTTAAAAAATAATTATAAGTTGAAATAATTAAATACATAGTAGGAGGGAATGTAAATTCACATATTCTTCCAAGGAGTGATTCGATAGTATGTGTGAAAAGCCTTAAATATAAATCATACTTTTTGGTCCAGTAATTCTAATTTTTGGCATTTTCTGATGGAAGTAATTAAAGTTATGCACAAATGATAATTATTGCTTTGGTTTTTATAATTGTGAGAAATTAGGATCACATTAAATGCCCAAATTAGGAAGCCATTTAAATAAATTATAGAGCATGTCACAGAAAATATGCAGGCATTTAAAATAATGTTATAAAAGAATACTTAAGCAGCAGAGGGAAAGCTCATGGCATACAGCATTATTAGGTGGGTTAAAGTGAGCTATGCAGCAGGATAAATCACATTTCTCAGGGTAATTTTAAGTATGTGCTAACCCTGGGCATCCTGTTTTCTGTCATCCAAAAAGAAGTATTTTCATTATTTTCTTTTGTTATAGCAGGAGTACAATTTTATTGTTCAAAATTCAGTAAGAAGTAGAAAGCGAAAATACTTCATCCTATTCCATCAATACAACTTTTAAAAATACTTTGATTAATTCTTGGAGAATTTCTTACAGTGTATTTGGATTATATTTGCCACCCCCCATGTCCACAGCTCCTCAGCTTGGGTGTGGGGTGAGGGCTTGGGGAGTGTTTTCCTCCTCCATGATGAATGTTGACTAGCCTAATGTTGTTCAGGTCTTGTGCTGGAAGCTACTGAGAGTTTATGAGGGCAATGATCCTGTCATGTCCAGAAAACACTGGCTCCTACCATCTTTCTGCTGCCTCTTTCTCTGTAGTTCCTGAGCCTTAAAGAGAAGCCATGTGTTAAAGATGTACCAATTTGCAGATGAGCACTTACCTTCTACACTTTGACTAATGCTTCAACCACCAAACAAAGAAGCTTCTCTCATGAGGACTGAGAGCTGTATTAATCTATTCGTAGAGAGCTAAGAATTTAGAGGGCAGTTTGATAGAATGTCGATTTAGCAGAACCATAGCATAAAAAAGTGCCAAGAGCACCCCAACTATGGGTTGTTGGTCATACAGTACCAAGTATGTATTTCCTCCAGTAGACTAGACTACAAATAGAGAGTGGTTACCCTTAGAACATCCTTGCTGCTGCTGAACCCTGTGGCATATCTTGCTATTCTGGTTATCATGATAGTTTACAAGGTTCACAGCTGGGTAAGGTTATTATTTACTTCATCCATGCCCTCCCCAGTAGAATGAGTAGCACCTTCTAATATTATGAAAGCTAGCCAGTAGGGAGAAAGGAAGCATCCTGACTTGATTTCTCAATGACCCATTACCAAAGTGTGTCATATCTTGAGCAATAAGGTGGGTAAGGTGGGCAAGGAAGAACAGAGGCAATAGCCTGTATTGTTTGGGATACCTAACCCTGCTCACCTCTTTGGTGGTGGCTTTATGTGTGATTTTGTTCTTTCCAATGTAATCAAAATGGTTTATAATTTGTTTAAAGAAAAGGTATCATTTGATATCTTAATAGCAACAAGTATTTATAAAATACATATGGAAAGGGGAACATTAAAAAACATAATCCCCTGTGCTTGCTGTTGCCTAACAAGAATTCAGGAAATTATTATTTTGTGTTTTAGTTTTTTTTTCTTTTTACTTTGCTTTGGTTGTGTAATAGTTTTAAAACCATAAAATTTAAACCAAAAGAAAGGAAAGGAGGAAGAAAAGGGACTGACTCTAGAGAACTCTTTAAAGCAGAAGAAATACCACATTATAACATACCCTCACTCAGTAACTTGTTTTATAGTTACCAAGTAAAATGTCTAATGTACGTCAAGCTCTGTCATTAGCCATGAGACACAGTGGTGAGACAGAATAAATGCTGCTCCCCTGAGCCTTTCAGGGCTGTGGGAGAGCATGACCCTCTGAGAAAGCAAGAGTAGAAACGTATAATTGCAAATTAAGAGAGTATAGTTTGCATTAGAATAGTGTCCATGAGACTCAGATCATATATGAATGCAAATATTTAAGAGGATGATTCAGAAAAAGGGGATATTAGAAGGATAAATAGACGAGAAGATATACTTGAGAAAGAGAAGAAGCAAGGAAGGAGAGGAAGAAAAATGACACAAAAGTAGTTCGTTCGTTGTCTTTCTAAGACACTGGGGTATAGCTGGGCTGGGGCGTGTGGCTAAGTGGTAAAGTGCTTGCCTGACATGCACAAGGCCCTGGGTTCTACCCCCTGGCATTGAAAAAGAAAGATGAGAAGGAGAGAAAGGAAGAACGGATGGAGGACAAGGAAGAAAAGACATGAGGGGAGAGGAAAATGAAGGAAAGAGAGGAAGAAGAGAGGGAATGGAAGGGAAAGAGAGAGGAGGAAGGAAAGAGGAAGGAGAAGGCATGAACTAAAGGAGGGCCGGAAGACAGCTGTAATTGGCCCATGACTGGCTATGTAACACTCTGATGACGTGAGAACAAGCAGAAGATGGCAGGGATGTGTGCTTAAGACAGAGATGTTGAAGCTTTGACTTGTTATTTTAATGGTAAATACAAATTCCAAACTTAAGTGTGAATTAACCAATGTCAGCAACACAATCCCCTAACTGATTGCAGCACCATGTATTAAGTCTTAGAAAATATCAAAACTCTTCAATACCCATGAAGGATTTCATTAAAAAAAAAATCACTTTATAGCCCAGGCGTGTGCTTAAAGAAATGGCTTTGTCTTTCAGCCTTAAATGAACCCACTATAGACTATGGCTTCCAGAGACTGCAGAAAGTCATCCCAAGGCACCCAGGGGACCCCGAGAGGTTAGCCAAGGTAAGGTTGCTGGGAATTGTCACATGAACATCTTTTTGTAGACACTCAGCAAATTTAGACAAATCCAGTCATTTGATTCCCATTAAAATTAATTAAGCCTTGAAACTGGCTATGCTTTAGATAACAGTATGAACATAAGGCTTCTGCTAATTTTGAAATATATTATGTTTAATATCTGAAGGAATGTGGAATCTGAAAGTTTGGTCTCATAAAACACATATGCTACAAGAATAGCCAGCTTATAAAACGCTGCCAACAGCATGAAGACAAATATTTGCACCATTGCTTAAAAGTGTAAATTTCACTGCTTTGTATTTAAATAGGACTTTTATTAAGTGAGAACTGTGGAGACTCATCAGTCTATAGGCAAGCATTCATGGAAGGCCTACTGTGTACATAGGAGCTTAATGAGGATAAAACGTCTCCATGCAAAACTTTTATGAAAGTGGTCATTTGTGAATGAACTTGCTCAGAAAGCATCACCTTAAATCTGGCTCATGACATCATCATTTTTATTTAAAAGTAACTCCATTTATTTATTGCCATTTGAGTAAAGAGAATCTGTTAGATCCTTTACATTTCTATTGGTGTTTCAAACATGTAGATTATAAAATGACATGTTCTTTATTCTATATTTGGATAAGAAGCCAAATACCAGTGGCTCCAACAACATACCTTTCTTTTCCTCCTGGAAGAATACTCAGCCCCATTAAGTCAGATGATACCTGGACAGCTGTTGAATAACAATTTAAAATGCTGTAAACAAAACAAAATAAAATTTACAGCAACAAAATCTATCCCCCCACCCCCTACACACACACACACAAAAAAAAAAAAAAAAAAAAAGGGGGGAGAAAAGGGGGAAGAGGGATTAGTGATTGCTAATTCTTTCTGGTTAAAATGAAGAAGAGGAACTATTATGGAAAAAATTTTTCTTTATTAGAATAAAATTTTGAGTAGGTATTGCCAAGAGAATTTCGGTGTTTTGTCAACTCCTTGGCAAGCGGCTAAAGTCAGGACCATCAATCACTTGAAGAATATCTGATTAATTAAGAGTACCAGAATTTTTAAATGCAATGGTCTCAAAGTCATTTTCAATAGAATATCCAATACAGTATCAATTTTAACTGACTTTGCCCTCAATTTGGTGGGTGTTTTGAGTAGCATAAATCATTATGGAGCCATTATACAACAGTGAATTTCTGCAGCTACCCATTTGTAGGATTTGTAAATGTGATTATATGCTATTCATCAAACCTAGCATCAGACTTCCTGGTTATTACATTTGTAGGCAATGTGTGAACTTTTTGTTTTCATCGATAATTTTCTTGTTTGCCACTTGGGACTTTATTGTACCCCACCCTGTCTTTTCTTTCTCAGGAAATGCTATTGAAAAGAGCTGCGGACCTAGTGGAAGCCCTCTATGGCACACCCCACAATAATCAGGTTAGATGTGTGCATCTTACACTTCCTGTTGAATTTGACTCTTGATTCTGGATACAGTGCTCACCTCAATGTGCCCTTCTGTAGGACATCATTTTAAAGCGTGCTGCAGACATTGCGGAAGCCCTGTACAGTGTCCCAAGGAACCCCAGTCAGATTCCAGCTCTCTCCAGCTCCCCAGCTCACAGTGGCATGATGGGTATCAACTCTTATGGCAGCCAGCTGGGAGTCAGCATCTCAGAGTCCACACAAGGAAATAACCAAGGTACTACCTACCCTTCTGAAAGTCAGAATCCAAACAGGGCCTCTCCGTCAAGAAGCCACCTCTGCTGGGGGAGGAGTTAGAGGGCACATCATAAACTACCCAATGGGGCTTGTGCCTAGGTAAACCCCACTATTAGAGATGGGTTATTTAACCATTCTAGATAGTCTGTTGTTAGTGTCTGAACTCTCTGGGAACTAGATAGAATTCTTTTGACTAGGAATATTAACAGGTAAAGTTGACTATCATAAATTTCAAAGAGTTTAGGCATATGGAAATGAGGCTTACAGCTGTTCATCGAATGTGTTTTATAATGATGCTCTGTGATAATCAGATTGAATGACAGCTGACAGCACCATCATCGTTTATTTCATGCAACTCTTGGTAACCAAGAGTATTGGCTTAGTGTTACTTGGTAATTTCTATTGTACATTTTCTCATATGGAAATATATGGCAATTTATTTAGTGAACTCTATTTTTTATATGAAGTCTACCATATGAAGAGTTGTTTCAGTGAGGTTTATTCCATTAAGAGACCCATCTGAGTGTGTCATAAATAGTTCTTTGAGAAAGATGACTTTTCCAAATAACGTTCTTAACCTTAGGTATTTGTTTCAAATTTTATTCATCCACCATGGTAAATTATTTTTCATTTGATGATATATTTTAGACTTTTTAAATTTTTTGTGTTTGTTTATTGGTTGGTTGGCTTAAATTTTTTGAAACTCAGACAAGCTATGATGTAGTCCAGGCTAGCCTTAAACTCACTATGTAGTCCAGGTTAGCCTTAAATTTGTGGCAATCCTTCTGCCTCAGATTCTCTTGTGCTATGATTATAAATGTGAAAGCATTCTTTATAAAAATATTGATATATGTACCTATATCAAGATATGTATTGTGTAATATATGTGATATATATCCATGTGGCACACATACATACACTATGTATAAGATATCTATTTATATCTATATAATCTATCTATATATATTTCAGTGTTGGGACTTGAACCTAGAGCCTTGCCTATGCTAGGCAAGTGTTCTACTATTGAGCTCTGTGTCAGGCTTTCAGAAGCATGAGGAAACTCTTCATCCTTCATGTCACTCATAGCCTGGATGTCTGTGCTCATGTGATGACACCTCAGAGCCCTGGGTTGATGTCATTCACTGTGCCCCTCAGTGCTTTTGGGTTGAAAATGATGTCCAGCCCACACAGAGGATGGCAATGACTTTGAAGTACCATTTCCAAACTGCTCAGCAGAATACATGTGGCCCCAGAAATGTTGCTAGGACACCCTCAGGAAAAATTCCATGGTGTGTTGAGTGTTGAGTTTGCAAAATACTAGATTGGCAAGTTTTGAGAAGGATATTTATTCCTCGGGTCCTTTATTTGACAGTCTTCCAAAAAAAGAAAAATGACTTTGATGTACAGTATCTGCCCTCCTTTGTTTGGTCACTGAACGATGTTTTCAGCTCCATTCAGAGAGAGAAAGGAAAGAGAGAGGAGAGAGAGAGAGGAGAAAGAGAGAGAGAGAGAGAGAGAGAGAGAGAGAGAGAGAGAGAGAGAGAGGAGAGAGAGAGAGAGAGAGAGAGAGAAAGCGAGCTAGAGATGCTGAGGGGAGAAAGCTGGGTATGGTGGTGCCCAGCTGTAATTCCAGCACTCTGGAAGTGGAGGCAGGAAGATCCACACTTCTAAGCCTGTTTGGGATGCTTAGCAATTTCCAAGCCAGCCACAGAAACATAGTGAGATCCTGTCTCAAAACTAGATTATAAAATAAATTAAGACAAAACAATATAAAGCAACATAAATAGAAGGGGGGAGTACCAGAGGTGTAGCCTGTGTAGAGCAAAGAAGTTATAAAAAGTTGAGAGCTGGGCTATCAAGTACCAGACTGCAAGTCGATAGGGGAATTAAGCTCTGGTGTTTTGTAGCATGGCCAGGTGACAGTAGTTGACAATAGTTTATCATAAATTCCAAATAGGCAACAGAAACTCTTGAATTCTTCCAGTACCAGAAAGTGATAAACATTTCAGGGGCTAGATATGCCAGTCATCCCAATATAATCATTGCCCATTGCGTGTATAAGAAGAAATTGCAGGTGGGGGGCAGTGACTTCATGTCAATAAAAAATAAAATGCTGCAAGTCAGCTCCGCTTCCCACAGTTGCTTGGCAGTGGTGACTTTATGATCTGGGACAGATATGGACAGATATCTCCACGTTTGGCCTGATGGTGGGTACTGCTTTGTTTACCTGGCCTGTTTCTTCTGTTGTCAAGGATACATTCGCAACACAAGCAGCATCTCCCCTCGGGGATACTCCTCCAGCTCCACGCCTCAGCAATCTAATTACAGCACCTCCAGTAACAGCATGAACGGCTACAGCAATGTCCCTATGGCCAACCTGGGTGTGCCAGGATCACCAGGATTTCTGAATGGATCACCCACAGGCTCCCCATACGGAAGTAAGTGACCTTTGCCATCCATCTAGCACTGTAAGCCTCCCTGCGAGGGTTCACCTGCCGGCCTTTTAGGGAAGAGCTGGGTTCCCAAATGGTATACACACATGGGAGGCAGTCTCATTTCTTGATGAGATGTCCTTCTTGTCTTTTGTTCTTCCTTTTGGCTGAACTTGGACTCCCAGTTTATGCAAGTCCTCCAGGGAAGGATTCCCTTGTATGAAGTCTAAGTGGCTTGTGTGTGTGGAGGAGAGGAACAGAGATTTCATTTGAGCTAAAGCAAACCTTTTTCATTGGGTATTTTCTTTTTTTAAAAAAAGCTTTTAAATGACTTATTAATTTGTACTTTATGTGGATTGGTGTTTTGCCTTCATGTATGTCTGAATGTATGTCAGATCCCCTTAAACTGGAGTCACAGACAGCTATGAGCTGACATGTGGATGCTGGGAATTGAATCCGGGTCCTCTGAAGGAGCAGCCAGTGCTCTCAACCACTGAGCCTTCTCTCTAGTCCCTTCCCTGGGCATTTTCACACACACACTATTTCATTTCAGGCAAAGGAGTTTGCTGCTGCAGCTACGCTGTCTACCCACTATTACATAGCTGGAATTTAACAGGCACAGAACTGATGGCATCTCATTCCTGTCACACTTTAATCTGTTGTTTTCTTTCACGGTTTATTACATAGAATCCACATTGATCACACCCACACCCCATTATCTTCTCTTATCCCCTTACCCCTCCCTCAAAGCCTCTCTTCCTGATAAGTCACATGTTGTTCGGCTTGTTTGTGGACCATTGTGGTTACTTTGAATAGCTTGCTTGAGGAAGCGTGACTTATTTGATCAAGGGTAACTTACCAGTGGCTATACTGCTGAGGAACACTACTTCCCTTTCCCCAGCAACCATTACCCACCTATAGTTCCTCGGGGAGGAGTGGGACCCTAGACAAGACATCCATATTGTGCTCTACTTGACTTTGTGGCATGGCTCTGTCCTCCATTAAACACTGCCAGAGAGATGGAAGTTGACTGTGTGTAGCAGCTTGCTGGATTGAGACAGAGCCTCTTAGCCTTAATCTAAGGCCTCAGCAGGAAAGTCAATGCCTTGAGAAGTTGTGAAAACCCATTTGGGTTGCTTTGGGAGTTAAGCTGGGAGCTTACACAATGGTCCCTGGAGCCTGAAAGAGTGTGTGTTTTTCAAACCTACTCAGGGAATACTTGAGGCCAAGGGACATGCTGACACAGAGAGCCAAGTGATGGAGTCGAGTGTTCTTGAAATGTTGGCTGTTGTCACAAGGCCAGTGCCTGTCCTCTCTTCACCCAGAGTGGCTCCCTTGTGCCAGAAACAAGGACGTGTCAAGGACAGCACACAGCCCTGTCAGCCACCACTCAAGCAACAGGCCTTGAAGGGCTATTTCTCACTGCCTTCTGACCTTTGGTTCCTGGGCCCATGTATTCCTGAGTTATTTCTAAGCTGTGCTTTTAAATCATATAATCAATATTACCCAGTGTGATGGGGATACAGGATAAGCAACCAAGTGCAGTATAGACCCTTTCTTTTAGTACAACTAGCATGTGTCCTGTACATGTTTCTTGTCACACAGCCTGTACTCACTGGAGCAGTTTATGGAAGTAGATTACTGTTGATTGGTTTGTCTTTATTCTACTTAAAAAAATCCTTATCTTGTGCCAAAAGTATGTGGTAGAATTACAATAATCAAATGGGCTGTATGAATGTGTAACATGGGAACCAATGGGAAAGTGAGGCAAGGAAGGAAAATGCATTTAGAATAACTGGATAAATCTAAGGATGGGCATTGATGACATTCTATGTGAAGAGCTATTGTTTCCCAGCTACAGATGCAAAGGTTGTTGTCATGTCTATCTGCATATGACTTTGTTAGGGAACTCAAAAGAAACGTGGGCAGTTTAGCTGCTGCCACCAGGGGAGGTTTGTCACACACTTGGTCATGAATGATTATGTGACAATGAGGCTCTCCCTTTAACATACCCACAAGGAGTATGATGGCATGAGAGAGGGCCACCATGTGAACAAAGCTACACAACGATGATCACAGTGATTCACCTATTCTTCTCTATAGGTTAGAAACAATGTAGAGCCCTCTACCACTTTTTGGCACAAATATAATAATTATTACCACCACTTTCTCTTATAAGAGACAAGGGTCATAGTAGATAGATAGATAAATGGCTCAATTGGAACTAAAACACCTGTCACCAGACTCACAGCATTGTACTTTAAAGTTAATCAACAGTAAGCATTGAGACTACTTACAATGTACCATTAGACCAAAGCAGAAGGAATTATTTTCATCTGACTATTCCTTAAATTATTTTATTAAACTTATTTTACGTATTTGTGTGTATGCATGTATGTACACACATACGCACATGAGCACCCTGATACATGTATAGAGATCAGAGGACAACTTTCAGGAGCTGGCTCTCTCCTCCTCAGGTCATCAGGGCCCTTTACCCACTGGGCCATCTTGCCAGCCCCCATCTGGCTGGTTTTGATATATAAAAATGGCAACTTCTCACGGTTCAGTCATGTGCTTGTGTGAAGTCAAGTCATGGCTGAGAATATGAAATAGTTCTTTTATAGATTTTAAATAGTTTATTAATACGTTAAGTATGTACTCCACAGTGCATCCTGTGGAGTTATCAGTGTGTGTGTGTGTGGCAGGTGTTCAGTTGGGTGTTATTTGCCTAATGTTTCTTACTAGATAATTCATCCCAGACAACAGCATTCTGCTCACTCCAAGTGATTTCAGAAAAAGTTACACCCCAAGTCTTTAAGTCATCTGTTAACATGGGAAGACAAGATGGTGTGCTGCCCAACAGGGAATAAAGAGACCTCAGAGAACTCCCCCCACCACATCACCCCTGCTGTCCTGAAAGTAGCCACTTGCATCTTGATATTTGGAGGGAGGGTCTGAGAAAATTGCAAACTGTGAATGGGATTCCAAATGATGCATTCGTTACGATCAAATTCGCCTGTTGTAAAATCCCAAATTCCCACTGGAGTTCATTACGATAACACCTGACCTATATTTCCACCAGTGAGGTCTTCACTTCTCTGGGAAATATTTTTTAAAGCGCAGGGGAAAAGATTTCGTCAGTTCAATTGCTGATGTCCAAAAACAATCCTATGTGGGCTTTCTTTTTTTCCACTTTTTTTTTCTTCTAATGAGCCTGATGTGGCTGGACCGTGCCGTGGGGCAATCACTCGCCAGAGACATTAAAACAGCAATACAGCCAGCACTCACTCTCTCTGTCAAGTTTGCCTTGCCTTCCAGCCAACACAGAGCCCTGTATCTTCCCTGCATTTGCTCTCATGCTCCTTCAAAAATGGCTAAACAGATGTTTTGTCAATCTCACACACACACTTTACTTCCTGGCAGTAGCCGTGTGTGCCAAGTTCCAGCTTGGTACAGGTTTTTATGCCTGGACTTTAAGCCCCTGACAATAGGGGGTTCTAATGAGATGCTGACAGACCCCTCAAGTGCCAGCAACTGCCTTGGCTGGATGCAGTTGCAAAGGAGGGACTGTGAGTTCCAGTAGGGGTTAAGATGGCCAATCAATCCTTGTAAGAAGAAAAGTGATTTTTCTTCAACTCCCAGGTTCACACAGATTTCTAAGCCAGACACGCTTGCCTTTGCTTTGGCCTCTAGCCACAGATGGATAGGTGTCGAGAGACATTCTCAATTGGAAGTCTGTGTGATCAGCTTTTCCAAAACGGTGCACTCTGCTGTCCCCAAACATGGTCTACTCAACAAGCCTGCAACACCCACGGGGACCATGTCTTCCAAGCAGAATAACCATCGAGCCAACCCAAAGTATGGGACAGAATCCATTCAGGCAGTTATCCAACCTACTTCACTTGCAGTCTTAGACCATGCCCTGGGCTCAGTATTTTTATATTTTCAGAAATAAATAAGAAGACATTATTGTAGAGCATTAAATGGCTGTTATAAAAAAACTCCAAACATAGGGAAATAGTTTTTAAGAGAGAGAAGACTCCCTTCCTGAGAAAGGTAAGCTCAACAATTTGACATGTTTCAATTGCATTTCTTAAGGAAAAAACAAATTCTATGATAGTAGAATTCTGACTCTAGACATTTTGAAAAGCATGTATAGGCTCAAAAGAGAAAGAAATGACATGCCATGTCTGTGCAGGTATAACCATTGTTTTCTTTTGTTTTCAGTACTGGGGGTCAAACCCAGGGCCTTGTGCTTGCTAGGCAAGTGCTCTGCTACTGAATAAAATCCTCAGCCCAGCAACCATTTGGAAATATAGCCTTGGGCTGGAGAGATGGCTCAGTGGTTAAGGGCACTGGCTGCTTGCTTTTCCAGAAGTCCTGAGTTCAATTCCCAGCAAACACATGGTGGCTCACAACTATCTATAATGGGATCTGGCATGCAGACAAAACATGTAAAAATAACACATAAATAAAATACATGTAAAATATATAAATAAAATTTAAAACGAGCCATCCATCATTAAAAAAGAAAATACTGCCTTGTGGTCATGGCAGACACACTTTGAAAACTATGATTGGGAATATGCAGGAAGGTACTCGAAAGGAAGGAGGGAGGAAGGCAGACAAATGACTAACGTCATAGATGTGACATCAACTCTAAGAAGCCCTTCAGTGGTGCAAACCTAAGTCTGAGACAGGAGAAGAGGAATTAGGAGTAATGTTTGCCTTAAAAAGTCAATTACCGGGGCTGAGGGTCTGGCTTAGCAAGAGTGCTTGCTTTTCAAGCATGGAGACCTGAATTCAAGTCCTCAGAATCTAGTAAAAAAGCTGCCTATGATAGTGTACCTATAACCCCAATACTTTGGTTGGGGGGTCAGGTAGAGACAGGAAGGTCGCTGGGGTTTGCTCACTACTCACTTAGCTTCTGGCTCAGTGGAAGACTTGTCTTAAGGGATTGAGGTAGAGAGAGATAGAGCAGGATACATGATGTCATTGTCTGGTCCCTTGTGTGCACAGACATGCCCATCTCCATCACACATTCTCTCTCTCTCTCTCTCTCTCACACACACACACACACACACACACACATACATACGCACACAACAACAACAACAACCAATTGTTACCATCCTGCTTTCCTTAGGAGTTTGAGAATTTATTAGTGTCTTGGTGTCTCTATTGCTGTGATAAAACACTGTGGCCAAAGACAACATGGGGAAGAAAGGTTTTATTTCATTTGAAAACTCTCAGATCACATTCCATGTCTTAGGGAATTCAGGCCAGGAACTCAAGGCAGGAACTGAAGCAGGGGCTTTGAAGGAGTGCTGCTTACATACAGGCTTGCTCTTCTCGACCTTTTGTTAATGATCCTGCTATTTCTTGCCACCTGCCAAAATGGACATTTTCCCATTTTTTTAATATTGGTAGCTTTAGTTTCTCCTATATTACATGTAATATACTTTCACCATAGAAAATTCTGAAAATAATGGACAAATGAAAGGAATACATTTGAAAATACAATTTTGTCAGCCAGAGTTACCACAGATTAAATGTTTATCACATCCCTCTATGCTTCGCTTCTTGTATTTTTTTCTTTAAGTAGAAGTTGGGTTGATGTATATATAGATGTATATATTATTGTGTAATCTGCTTTGTTCATCCAAAGGGGGTATTCCTGCACTGTTAAATATTCTTCTCAAATATTAGTCTAAATGTTTAACATTCCATTGTATGGGCTTAATATGTTTTACCCTACTATGGATCATACATTTCCCAACTTCTTATTGCTGTAAAAAGTCCTTCAATCTTCTACTTTTTGTTGGCACATTTGTGACCATCCCTTTGAGATCAATTCTAGAGATTAAATTAGTGGGTCAGATGATATGAACATCTGAACAGACTCTTTGTATTGCCAAAGTCCCTCTGGAAAGAGGCTGAGTGAGTTTCCTTGCCTGTTGGTCTTAATTTTTATCTGAATAAATGAAAACTAGCAATTTTTACCACTGATACTGCTGTTTTATAATTCTGCAGTTGGAATAGCACTCTTGTTCAGGTCTCTTGGTCATTTTCATTTGTGTTCTTTGCCTATTTTCTATTTTTTCTATTTCCTAATTAACTCACAGCAAGCAACACATTAGCTATCAAGGGCATAAGCATGGCTAAATACACACTGCAAACATTTTTCTTGACTTGTCATTTGCTTCTTGTGCATATGTGTGTTACAGAAGCTTTTTCATGTGTGTCAACTCTATCTTCCCAACTTCTGTTTAACCACTGACTTTGTGATTTAAAGAGGTGTGCAAAGCACATGACCTTTTGAGGTGTTGCCTACCATCTTCACAGCTTTATTTCTGCAAATAACGCCATGTCTACTTAGATTTACTTTCACACCAAACCCAAGGAATGACTCTAAATTTTATATATTTAATATCCCACTGGTTAGCAAATTAGTTTTATGCATCAGTTCCCAACAACATAACATGTACTACCATCTTTCTTAACCATTAGGTCTCATGTATAACAATGTCCATTTCTGGACCTTGTTTTCCCCCAACTATTTGTCTACCTATTTGTTAGTATAACACAGGTTTATATTTACCACATCTTTTAATATCTAACATCAGCACACTCCTTGTCAAGAAAGCTCTTTTATAGTATGGCTACTGAAATATATAAAGTTAGAAGTTATGTTGGCTGAAATGCATGGAATTCTTTTAAGACTTCTGCTCTAAATGTTTTAAGTTATGGTTTATGGTGGGTGTCATTTGTTATGTTCACAGAATTTTTGAGAAATGTCTTTATAAGGGTTTGCACTTGTCAACTCTGCCGCAGCTTTCTTTTGTGTCACTTTGTAAGCTTTTCCTGAGAAGTTGCTGTGGCCCAAGCCATTCTGTAGGTTGAATCAGCATGTTAGGAAAAGTATTTTTAAGAATGAGATATATGCTGGGTGTAAGTGGATGGCATGTATGTATCTGCGTGTATATGTCTACATGTGTCTACATGTGTATGTGTACATGTGTACATGTGTGTATGTGTGTACATGTGCTATTTGTGTGTCCATGTTTTATGTGTGTACATATATGCATCTGTATATACATATGTGTACATTACATATGTGTATTTGTGTTTGTGTATATTATGTGCATTTGTGTGTACATGTTTTATATCTGTACATGTGTGTACATGCATTATGTGTATGTAATACACATATGTAGATTCTGCTTACACTTGGAGAACCTTCTCTGGTCTTGAACAAGACCAAGCTAGTCAATATTCCATAATAGATAGGAAGGGAGTCATCAATCCCCTACCCCTATCTGAGAAGTATTGACAACTGATGGCTTCTGGGGAAGGGAGAGTCAGTTTTCACTGAGGCGTGACCCCTAGTAGGTTGATCACTATTTAGTGGATGGCCCTCACCCAGGAGCATGTGAGCAGCACAAATTGGACTTGGTAGATTATTTTTTAAAGACATGAAGTTTGGAGGGATTGTTGAGGTGAAGGTGGTTCTAGGGGAATTAGAGGAGGAGTGGGGAGTTAATAATCACAATATATTATATGCATGTATGAAATTCTCAGAGTTAATAACAATATCATATTTTTAAAAAGGAACCTTCCTTGTTACCATGCTTGAGTGAGGCTATTGCAACAATGGAAAGTAGGGTGTTGTTTTGGTATCTATATTGAGGATTTAATGTTGCAGAGGTTAGACCATGCTCAGAACCAGAGCTTCCTGACTTTCAGCCCTTCTTTGGCCTCTAAATCTGATATTAAGGAAAGGAGGGAACATTTTATATTACTTTATATTTTATTGATGCTAAAGCCAAAGTTAGAAGAGGATATTAGCCTAGGGATCATAAACAGATCCATTCCCAGTGATGAGCCCTGCATTTTGTGTAGTACAGTGAATTCATTGGTCCAGTTTTCCACACATTTTCATCCTCATGACATGAAATTCTGCCTCCTTTCCAGTGTTCTTTTTACAAAAATGGTAGAGATGTACTCTGGTGTGTGTTTCTTCATAGCTTTTAAAATCAGTATTAGCTAAGCATAAGTATTCCTTAGAAAGAAACTCTTGCTTTTGATGACTTTGGCTTTATGATTCTGCTCTAAAGATGTCATGCTGGGGGCTGGAGAGATGGCTCAGTGGTTAAGAGCACTTACCACTCTTGCAGACTACCTGAGTTTGGTTCCCAGAACCCATATGGAGCAGCTCACCATTGTCTGTAACACCAGTTCTAGGGGATTCAGTGCCCTCCTCTGGACTCCGTGGACACCTGCATTCATGCGCTCATACTCACACACAATTAAAAGTAATGAAAAAAATCATTAAGAAGAAAGACATCATATTGTACACAACACACTGTCTGTGATTGCTATAGGTGTGACTGAGATGCAGGGAAGAGGGGGTACCAAAGCTTCTGACCTCAAGTCACCTTGTACTTACTTAGTTGTTGGTGCTGTTCCTTCCCCATCTCATTTGCTCCTTTTGAGCAAGCTTAGCAACAAATAAGATTTCCTCCCTGATGTAACTTGGTGGAGTGTGTGCCATGAGGAGGTGGGGCCCTTCGCTGTTTAAACTGCCTTTATTTTTCTTGGAAATTACCACACTTAGCCTTTGGCTCCCCTTAAGTCATTATTTAATGCTAATATTGTTAATATTGGTGGTTTTTATCTGAGCATTATGTCAGGGGAGACTGAATTTCAGCTTTATTTCCCAAGCGTACAGAAAGTCCAGAGAGGGAGGTGATCTTCTGAATGTTAATAAACTCCTGCACTGAGTGAGGAAGAAGCCCATGGCGAGGGCAGTCTTGGTGATCTTAGTCCTGGATGTCAAACCTCTAGGGCATGGGAGTTGCCAGATGCCTCATAGTTCCAGATAGGCCTTTTTTTTTTTTTTTTTTTTTTTTTTTTTTTTTTTTTTTTTTTTGTTGTGTGTGTGTGTGTGTGTGTGTGTGAAAAGGAGTTCCCCATGCTGTGTAGATGTTTTTCCTCTTGCCATTTTTATCATGGATGAATATCTGTCACACTCCACCCCCTACCTTGATGCCTGTCTTCCCAGAGCATTCTGTCTTCTCATGAGACCGTCCTTTTCTCTAATGGGATCATTGCCACAGTAGCTGTTTTATGTGGCTATTCCACCTGGACGGGGGAGGAATATTGTCACATTCGACATTTTTTTTTCTGGTTTCTCTTTTGTTTTATTGGCATATGGCTATTTTGTACTCAGTATTCAGTTTCAGATGGGTGAGTTCTCTCAAGTTCGCGGATCATATTCAACCCCCCTTCTGCTTCAATACCACACATATACTCACATGCGTATCCGTGCTTGCATATAATGACTCTATGTAGCTCTACAGAACTATAGGTGCTACAGCTGAGAAAGCACATGCTATTGTCTCTCTGCATTTGACTCATATTGCATAACAGGCTGCTCTCTGACAACCCAAACAGAAAGTGGACCAATGCGGCACATGCTAACCCTTCAAAGGTGTGCCATGCCTGTGAAAAAATTTCCACTAACCTAGCCGTATGGTAAATGCAAATTGAAACAATATTGAGACTCTATGGCCCCAGCGAGAGTGGCTATCCCTGAGAAAATGACAATAGCAGATGCTGGCAAGGATGTGGGGGTGGAGAGGAACTCTTACACATGACTGGTGGGAATGTAAACTGATCCAGCCACTGTGGAAATCCATATGAAGGTCCCTCAAGTTTGTTGTTGATTTTAATCACTGGAACTGGACCTACACCTGGGAGTTAATAGTTTCTCACACAAACTGTGGAGCATGTGTATGTTAAGAAACATGGTTTCTCGATGAGCCTCCCCGCTAAAGACTGTCACACCTTTGCTTCCAGTCATGTCATCAAGCCCCACCGTTGGATCCTCCAGCACATCCTCCATCCTTCCATTTTCCTCCTCAGTTTTTCCTGCTGTCAAACAGAAGAGTGCCTTTGCCCCTGTCATCAGGCCCCAAGGCTCCCCTTCGCCTGCCTGCTCCAGTGGCAATGGAAATGGATTCAGAGGTAAGTGAAGGGCCCGCTCCAGGGGTGCATGTGATCTAGGTGTCCCAGGGCCTGGAAAGAAAGGACAAGCATCCCTGCTTCACTCTCTAGCTCTGAGCACTTGCCTACAGAGCTCCTGGAACTTTCGTGGTGGGTCATGAATGGCAGAAGTGCTGGCCTGTGCTCCACCTGGGGCTCGGTTAGTATGGGGGTGAATGAGGTCAAGCCGGGGATCTGCAGGACATGGAATTAGCAGTGGTAGAGCCACATGTTCAACCCAGGAACATCTGGGCAACCCCGAATTGCACTTTCCATGGGGCCCATCACTGTTTCTGGAAGGTGCCTGTTCACCCCTTCAAAGGCCTTGTGGTTATTTCTTATCTAACTGGCTTGCCATCTGCACTTCATGTTCATTCCCGTGGCACACGTGGACGGATCCATCGGGAGCAAAAACACTGGTTATGTGCTAGCCAAATTGATAGCAGGTGCCTGATCAAGGGGTAAAGTAGGGAAGGAAGAGGAAAAAGTCATACTGTTTCTAAGAACAAAAAATTAATATCACCCGTCAAACCCACTTTTGAGCAATGTCCTAAAATGTAATATGACATGACGTAACACAAATGTGATGAGTACATGAGAATCTAATCATCCCTCCGAGAGTGGGAGGCAGCTGATGGCAAGAGAGCAAATTGGAAACTGCTGAGCACCATGGCTCACTGGTGACCCACATTATTTTTGGCTGTTTCTCATGTCTTGACATGAAAACATTTATGACAGGCAGCGTTGGTCAGCAGGGTTTTGTGGGGACGTGGGATGGGCTGTGCCATTCTGGGGACCCCAGCTCTTGGTGGCTTGCTGAAAGCATGTGTGTTCCAAGTCTTTGGAGGGTACCTGGGAGGGTAGCTGAGGAAGCTTGAAAGACATGTTAGGTTTCTGTGCCTTTCACCCCTGGGGACTGTGACTTTTTGACAGAGATGACAGAGAATCTGTCAAAACCATTCCTGGAAACTCAGCTCTCAGAATAGCCACTGAACATTCCTCTCAGTAGGCTAGACTGCTGGAACTCCATGCCACCCAACATGTGGGTAGTTGGAAACATCTGTATATTGGATGAAACTTTTTTTTTTCATCCAGATGTCTAAGTCATAGAGGCACAGCACAGCTTGTAACTAAGTGTCTCCACCTAACCTGTCACTCATCAGACACCCAAGGGCTCCATCTTGTCACTCAGAGCAGGATGAGAACTGTTTCCATGAGGGTCATGCTTACCTCCAGGGAAATAAACACCACAGGGGCAGGGAGGGGAGACATGTCTGCTGTGTCCCCCTCCTCACACCCCGTTGGTGATGATGTCTCTTCTCTCTAAGTTCCCTGCCTTCATTCATCAACTCTAAGCTGAAAGGGGAACAGAGTGGGGAAGTGGAGGCCCCAGCCTCGTGATCCACAGTGTAGACAATACTCCTTAAAACTGGTCCTGGAGACAAGTCCCAGCATTGATGCTCCACATACATCCACTCGCCTTCTTCAGCTGAACAGCAAACTACTGATGACTTGAATCCAGGCACTGGTACTCTAGACCCTGTGCTCTGACAGCACACTGTCTCTCTAGGGACAGTTATGGTGGACCTCCTCTCTTTGCCCATCCTTGACTTATGTCTACTTTGCTACCAGGACAAAGGGAGGGGATTGCTTTTCTGTAAAATGCCCAAGGTGAGAATGAACTGGACAAAGTGCAGTTAAGCATCTCTCCACCATGAAAGTCACCAATGAAAATGTGCCCACCTCCCATGAATTTCTATCATTGTTTGTTGGCTCTGATTTCTCTATGTGCAAAGTCAAGGTCACCATCTAGTGAAATTCCAACCTATCTAGTGTTGGGTGGACCAGGGAAAAGGGCACAAATGGAGCCTGCTGCTCTGAGTCTTTGGCCATCTGTGGCCTGTATGAAAGAGGAAGAGCTGAAGAGCACTAGGTGTCATAGGGGAGAAAATGGCAGGCATGTGTGTCAGGCTATAGTTAACAGCATTTTCTGTCCCACCCTCTGCCTCACTCATGAGGCATTTACAGTTGATGAATATAGATTGTCAAGGTGATATTATATGCTGCGTGTCTGATTCATTTTCTAGCTCCCTCCAGAAACACACACACACACACACACACACACACACACACACACACTCGTGAGCTTGAGAGTCTTACACCCCTGGATAATTACAGCAGTTGTTATATATCCAAGTCATCAGGGAGTGTCCAGAATTGAACTGCCTTTATTGAAAACTTACATCGATTCAATATATAGTAATACAGGCAAAAATAATTAAGGCTTTGCTAGCTGTGTAAGACCTTAATCCAGATCTCACAAACATTCAATAAAGGCTGTATGGGCAGGGAAACAGACAGCTGACAATTTTGCCCGAGAGAACTAGCTGGGGTGGAGAAAGAGGGGGAGGGGAGGGGAGAGGAAGACAGAAAGGGAGGAGAAAGAGATAGGGTTAGAGACAGCATGAACGGCCAGAATTTTGGCTATTTGCTTGGAAGCATCTCGGTGAGAATACTCAGAAAGATGCTTGTATGAGAGTCGTTATTCTCCTCTATGCAATATAAACAGGAGAAATCCAGGCATCAAGTATCAGAGATGGTTGGAAGTTTGGACACAAGGGAAATTTTATCACTTTCTACGTATGTAAAAATTCTCTGGGCTTATTACAACACAGCCAATGACAGAGGTTTGTACTTTGCTATGTGATACCCTTCTTTGTTCATTCCCCACACAGGGGGGATTATTGAGCTTGATTCTATCCAGACAAGTGTCATCTATGTCCTCTTGACAAGATGGAGGAGGCCGTGGATGATGTATAGGGCATGGGGAGTGGGGAGTGGGTTGATGCCCAAACTGGTAACGAAGTGAAGTCTTTTCCAAAGACTGGCATTTCTAGGTGACTAGCTCCACATACCATCTGTGAGCACTAAATAAGGATGAACTATGTTTTTGTTTGTTTGTTTGTTTGTTTGTTTGTTTGTTTTAAAGCACTAAACTAGTTTAGTGGGTGATGTTCATGAAGACACTTTAGGATGGAGAGAAACCCTGGTTTGTTATAATTGATGCCTAAGAAGCCAACAGGCTTAGCACCTGGGGTTTTCCTTCTGGTTCCACCCAGTGATGTGGGACATGTCTATCATGATTTGGTTTGCATGTTTACTTCTATTGTCCCAGGATAACCCATTAATATACAGAAATGGTAAAGTGCTTGCCAAACAAGCACGGGGACCTGATGTAGGTGGCCAGCACTGAAGCTTCTGTTAGCCCAGTCCTGGAGAAAACTCACTCATATATGAACACTTCACCAGCTCTTTGGGTTGTATTAGACTCTATTGTTCCCACACCCACCCTCCTCCCCACGATCAGTCTTTCAAAAAAAAAAATAGTCTCTATGTTTCAACCCTGTGTCACTCTTTCCTTACAGCCATGACGGGACTTGTTGTACCCCCAATGTAAAGTAGAGGAAGAGCTGCTTTCTCATAGTACAAAACTACTTATTCCGATGGACCAATTATGAAGGAAGCACTCGGAGCTCGTTGGGGAGAGTTGCGCCCCTGAACGGCCATGTTGGACAGATTTGGGAAGGTGAAGAGCTGCCATGATGGTCTCAAGTTCTTCATGAAGCTTTGACAGTAACTACACAAACTGACCCTTTTGGAGACAAGGACAGAAAAAAATGTCATTGAGGTGGTCAGTGCTAAGAGCAGAAATGCGATTCTTTGTTATGAACATTACAAAAACCACCTTCCTATGTTTGTAAAATATTTAAGAAAAACATTGGCAAACATTCATGCTTAATATTTTGGATACTATTTGTTTTTCTTTGTAGGAAAAAAAGTTGAAAGTTTCTATTTTCTATGAATCCTTTCAGATACCAATTTAGTTTAATGCAGAAAAAAATTGAACAAAACAGGGTACCAGCATGGGAGACTTTCTTAAAAATGAAACCTGAACCGAATGAGGAAATGTTGTATGTGTGTTTGCTTATACTTTAAGCTCTTAAAAAAAACAAAAAGGGAAAAAAATTTAAAATGTTTTACAGTTATTTAAATAAATAAACGTGTAACTTATTGTAAGTAGAAGTAGAAATTAAGACTTTTTTTTAAGAAGAGAGGAATATCTCTTCCTGTTGTAAAATGAAATTGACACAAACAGGTAGTGACAAGTTTTAAAGGTGTGTGGTTATTACAGTTGCTTATTAGATTCTTATCCTACATCCCGCACCCCTCTCTTTTTCTATCGTTTTATTGACCCACGCACAACACTGTAACTTGTGCGGATTCCCTCAGAACAACCCACCACGAAACCAGACTCAGAGACATGCTGGAACACAAACATTCCAACCCATCACTTCATTCCCAGACCTGCCTTCTAAAGAGTTCACAGGTCAGTTGTGGTGTCCACTCTTGGTGAAGCATTTTAAAAACTTCATTCTTTCCCAAGCAATGCAGGGAGTCCCTGTGTTACCATCTCAGCGTTGACTATCCCTAGATAAGAACTATCTCTAAGAAGGGCTCAAGCCACTTGACTACGCTGACCACAGGGTCTTCAGAATTTCTCCTTTGCAGAGCCATCTGGCCTTTCCTCTTCCAGTGCCTGATTTAGGCATGGGGACAGGAAGCTCCACAGAACTTTGCAGAAAGTGGTTGGGGAGAGTAGCTGTGCTCCTTGGATGCTTAAGACTCAGTCTTCGACTGTTCCCTTTCTATGCAGAGTTTTCCTTTTATGTTATTAAACTCCCTTGGAAAAACATGTATCTTACCTGTTTCTGGGAAGAGTGGGGTGGGGTGTAGATTAGAGATTAGAGATTCAGAAATCTCTAAGCTTCTATCCTTCTGCCCAAAGACATGGACATTGGCATTTCTGGGAGATTGGGAGGTTAGTGGTAGCTGGGTTCTAAGCAGTGCAGTTACCCAGCCTGCCCTGGGAACCCTGTGCTGCCTACCTAGTTCTAGGCGGGGGGTGGGGGGTGAGGGAGACCCTGCAGTAGTTGCTAACAGTGGTAGACTCTTGAAAATGTGCGTGGTCCTGGAGATGCAATTAGACTTGCCTGGCTTGACAATAGGATGTCATTGTTTTCCAGGTCAGGTGTCTTCTCTTTGATTCCACAGACTTAGCTCGGGGTTCTTGGTTAGGCTTCTAGCATTGGAAATTGATACCACTTCCATGGAAAAAAATCTTTAGTGCTTCTGAGCCAATTTTAGATGACCCTCTCTTTGCCCCACTGGTTTATGTCCTCACTGACTCAACCCTCAGCTGTCTTCTTTGCCTTTAGTTTGCTTTGGAATTACCCAAGATGACACTTTCCCCCCCTATGCACATGAGAACCCACAAGTTTTGAAACCAGGCATGCTCATAACTCTTGCTGACAGTCCTTCATAGTCAGGGCTCACAGCACCAAAATATATGGAAATGCATGAGAAAAACGTCCCTGGCTAACAATCTGGTACTGGGGAAAGAATGTGTGGAATACGAACCTCACCATCCCAAAATGGAGGCGGAACAAAATTAAGCATGTTTAGAGCTGGATTTGAGCCAATCCAACATAAGGACATTTTTTTTCTTAAGTAGCATAGCTTTTAGAACCTGTGAATCTTTCTCTTGCATGAAGATTAGTGCAGTACTGTCTTCAGAATGACCTTAGAGTCTGTCAGTAGCTTTACACCGAAGACTGTGTGTAACTAAATACCTGACATCTTTGACCATTCACTAGGACCTCGGCAGCCACAGATCTATTTAACTGTACAAATGTGTGTAAGGACTATTTTTAGTGTACTAATAAATTAAAAACAAAGCCACTCTGTCCTCTTTAGTCATTGCTATTAAATGATTCTGGTCCCAGGTTATTTTTGTGCCATTTGGCAGACAAGTATCTCTATAGGTGATGACAAAATTCTGTTCTATTTTTGAGAGGAGCTGTGTAAGATTTTTCATTTAAATGGACAATTTACTGCATTATTTATCTCATTTCTTTTGTTACAGCATCGGAATTCTTTCCAGTTTTTCTTTGCACATTTCAACATGCATGGTTAAAAACCATTATCTTTACCTTTTGTACAGTAAGGCCTCATTTCCAAACTGTATAGTTCTGTTGTTTTTTGCTTTGTCAGTTACATACAGTATAAAGTTGCTATGCACAGAGCTTTTTGTAAAGACAGCTTTTTTGTTTACTGTTTTTAATGGTCTTCCTTATGAAAGAATATCTTGTTTGTAAAATGAATATGTCTACTTCAGTTTTAAACTTTAAATTATCCTAACAAAAAATAAAATTTTTGTACTATAAAAATAATCTTGGCTTTCTTGTGGGAGAAATTTATTTTGGGAGTTGTTCTTGATTTGGATGGTTTCCTTGTGAGTTCTAGTCACTCAGCTTTTCCTCTGGTTAAGAAAAACTTACCAAAACTTTTGCTTAAAAGTATGATATCGAGGTGATTAATTAGAGATGCTGTTAGGCCAGTTTTCTGCATGTATTTGTCTTACATCCATAGACCAAATTCTTTCATAATCCTTCCCAGACCCAAGAGATCCTGTTTGCTCTGTGGCTGTGCGGGATGCATGAAATTCCTGAGGTTGGTATCTACTATGGCTTGAAATCACCTATTGAACAAATGTAAGTTGATACGTTGGACACTAGATGAAGAACTGGAGGCACAAAACTCACTGCCTAGCCTTAAATCATAGGAAAGGAGCGAAACACATTTCCCTGGAAGGAAACAGTCAGAGGATAGGCATGAAGGAAGGCAACAGGGCTGGCATCCTCAAAGAGGCTTGATAATTCAGCAATGACCTCTCACGTGACTCTTGAGTGTGAATCCTGCTTTACCCACCTTCCAGTGAAAGGAAGGAACAAAGAAACCCAGCATTCTCGACCCATCATCTTTAAAGATGAAGAATTTCAGTGCTGCAGTGTGCCCTGAGTTCAGTTATCACCTGCATCTCAAGGATCATAGCTGTATCTCTCAAGTGCTGAGGAGAGAAGTAGGCAGGGCACAGGATTTACTCTGATTGTTTGTAGACAAAAGAATGAATAGCAATGGGACCATTGTTTAGCCTTGTGCCCTTCTGTCCAGTGAAAATTGGGGTAGAAAAATAGATACCAGGCCTGAGAGGTAGTTTTTTGGCATCCATGAGCATGGTAGGAAGTGGCCCCTGCAGGAGAAGTCGTCGTCCTAGTTCTTGGGAGATGACAAGTCCTAAAGTTTTCTCCAATTAAAATGTGACCGAGAATTATTTATTTATTTATTTATTTATTTATTTATTTATTTATTTATTTATGTTAAAGGCAGGAGCATCTGCTGTGCTATAGGTTTGACTTTTGAGGATAAAACTCATGTTTGTTTTTGTTTTTTTCCAGTTCCAGATTTTTGCAAGTCCAGGAGTTTGAGCACATGAAAAATTTCTGTTAAGACAGGAATGAGACCAAAATGATTTCTATTATCATATCCAACCATTTACCTTTTCTGAACTGGGAAAGCACAATGGTCACATAGAATCACAAGTGCTGCAAGGACTGGGGCCACAGAGTTTGAAATGACTGTTAAATCTTAATAGCACCATTCCGGAGGTAGCCCGGGGCACAGAAGGCGGGTTCCCAGCACCCACAAAGGATGGTTCACAACCATCTGAAACTTCAGCTCCAGGGTAGCCAATGCCATAAGTAGCTTCCATGAGTACCCCCACACATGTGCACACACAAACAGATTATAAAGAGTAAAAACTATCAGCAGCTCTATAGCAAACAGTAAGGATAATAAGTAGACCAATGGAAATGCTAATCTTCTGTCTTCTGTTCTGTGGAGATGCAGAAAGAATGTGTGTGTTGGAAACCAGTGAGCCTGAGTTCTAATCCTAGCCCCACCCCTCACTGTAACTGATTACCAGGAAATTATACTTATGACCTTCAATTTCCCCATCTGTAAAGGTGGAGGGAAGACCCTTTATGCCAAGATCCTTTTCCTGCCAACATTGTAGAGAAGTTTAAATAAAAACAACAAATGTCAAAAGTCAAACACAAGTCTTCTTAGCTCTATATGTTTTTGTTTCTTTCCCCTTACCCTGTGATTCAAAATTCACGTTTATGTAAAAAGCCACACATCACTCTTTCCTTCCACCTCGTCCTTGATGGCATGGAAAAGAGGATTACTAATTAGTCAATGTCTGTGATTGGCTACAGGAATAGCACCATTTCCGTCACAATTCATGAGCTGGCAGCTCCTTCAACTGGATCTACTGAGAAGACAGCTAATGCTTGTGTTTCTTATGAGATTGCTGCCCAGTTCTGCAACCACCCATGCTAATCTTCTGCCCCCAAATAACACATGAGACACTGTATTAATTATGAAACTGCTGACCAGTGTCTAGGGCTTCTTATTGGCTAGCTCTGACTTAATTTCTAACCCATTTTTATCAATTACGTATTTCCATGTGGTCTTCCCTTACCAGAGAAATGACTGGAGACATGCTACTCCTCTCCCATCCTACATTGTGACTCACTGTGCCCACACCTCCCAGAATCCTCCTTATCTCCTAGCCCCACCTATCTTGCTTCCCTATTGGCCAACAGTGTTTTATCTATCAACAAATAAGAAAAACGTGTACAGAAGACTTCCCCCATCATGTGTTCCTGTCTCCTCAAAGTTGGTGTGAGGGTCTAGGAGGGGGTGTGACTGCTTGGCAGACAGCCAGTACCGTGAGATAGGCAAGTCTCTCTAGAGAGGAAGTAGCATAGAGAAATGGTTGGTTTCCATGGTGTGTGTGTGTGTGTGTGTGTGTGTGTGTGTGTGTATGTGTGTGTGTGTCACACACACCAGTGAAAGGAAGTCCAGAGTTTATATCTTTGAAATCGACAAGTCACTCCAAATTCCCTCATCTTTTCTATTTCACACTGTGAATTTTTTGTAGTTTGAATGTGAAATGCCTCACACCAAGTTCACATGTTTGAACATTTCATCACCAGTTGGTGGCACTGTATAGGAAGATAGTGGAAACTTTGGGAAGTAAAACTTCAATGGAGGAAGTTGGTCACTGGGGGCGAGCCTTATATCCCTGCCCCACTTTCTGTCTCCTGTCTGTTTCCTGACAGCAGAGATGTAATGTAGCCAAAGGCTTGTTTCTCCTGTTGGCAAGTCTCTTCCTCCCTAGAAGGATGGACTGTACCCTCTAGAACTCCAAGACAAGCACAATTCTCTATTCAACTTGCTTCCTGTCATTTACTTTGAACTTAGCAGTGAAAGAAGTCACTAATACTTCCCAAATACAGGAAGGTTAAGACAATCAACTTCATACGGACAGAGACAGCATCCCTGAAGCTGGTGAGGTCATAAACCTTCTAGCAAGAAGCCTGTGTCCTGTGGAGGCACTAGGGGTGTGGACCTCCAGCCCTGAACATCAATAGTGGTTTCCCTCTTCTGGTCTCATTGGAAGGTGCTGCTCTTTGTGTAAAATCCAGTCCAATTAAAATTTAAGGAACATACTGATGGCCTTTCAATTTTTTTGTTAATTTTTCTCTTTCTTTACTAATACAAAATTCTTAACTTCCAGATCAATTTTACAAATTTGAGAAGTATCAGACTATGGGGCTGAGAAAGGGGGAGGAAAAGTTTAGTAATCAACGAATTGGTCATCATTTCTTCGGTGATCAGGACTTGGCTGAATGTGAGCAACTGTGTTCTTAGTTGTGTTTCAATAAAGGCACTCTCCACGTCTTGAGTCCAAGCATTTCATTCTTGCCTCTGAATTATGTTCATATCCACAAATCCCAGCCAAGGGCCCATTGAATAATTGTCCCCACATGTAACATTTTCCTAGTGATGTTTTCCTTCCTTCGTCCTGTGAAATATAGAAATGTGTTTCTAATTATTAGCAGAACCATCTGGTGACTGCACTGTATCATTCTCAGTCAGATGACTCACTGAGTGGACCGTTGGGTAGAGCTCAGTCATGTTTGACACCATCTTAGGAAATGGGACTTCTATAGTGACCTCACTTTGCACTGGCTCACCTGTAACCAAGGTTTGTAAGCTGACAAGCAGAACTTGTGACTTGACAAGCACAAATAGATCTGCAGTTGGACATGTCATAGATGTCTGTGTCACAAGCCACAAGAGTCATACGCCTCTTGTGCCCTGATGCCTTTGCTCTCTTGGTTTTGAAAACACAATGCAACTGGTTTCTGTCTTGCTGTTTTTATATCTACATGTGGCTGGGGTTCAAGAATCTGTCTCCTCCCTGAATCACTGAGTGATAAGAGATGGGCACGATACTAGCCAGATCTTCAGAGACGCTTACTCCTGGCTTTCCAGGAAAACCCAAAAGATAGCTCTTCATGTATAATCACATCTTACAAAATCAGCCCTCTCCTCAGTCTTCAGAGTTGGCATTCTGATAGTACTGCCCAAGGCATATGTGCATATACCAGGCTAAATTCTTCTTCTTTGTTGAGTCATGTTTTAATGGCCCCCAAGTTTAGGAGCTTATACTAATTAGCATGGACAGTTCTCATATTCAGTGATGCTCTCTTTTCTTCTCAATTGTGTGACTGTTTTTGCTATGAGAAAGTAGAATAAGAGATAAAATGAAAAGGGAAAATGGGATATATATTTGATCTTTAAAATGAACACAGAGGATTTCCTAGCCAGGCCATCTGTGCTGCCTTGGAGCTGGGTACCACAATGAAGATAAATTCAGTTAAGTAAACTGTCAGAGGACTTGGGCACAGGACGAAGTGAAAGAGAAACAGAAAACTGTACCAAGATTCCATCCCATAAGATGTGTTTTGATGTAGGGAGTATGCAGGGAG